CCCCGCCCCGCCCCCTCACCTGAGTACTGCTGCAGCAGCCAGACTTTGAGCTCGATAAAGCTGTGGGCGAAGTGGCAGCTGTCTTCCCGTAGGCAGCCGTAACGCACCTCGTGGCGGCACACGTCGAACTGGAAATGCTCCTGGAACTGGCGGATCTTGGAGTACTTGAGGGAGGTGGAGCGGACGATGTGCACCAGGCACCTGGCGGGCAGAGGGCGGGGCGCGCGATGCAGGCGGCAGCCCCCGCCCCTCCCCCATCATTCCCGCCGGGGAGGGGCTGCTCTCCCCGGCACTGCGCAAGCCTGAAGGGTGGGGGGGGCTTCGCCCTGGGTCTTCCTGCCCTATTAAAACGCTTCTAGAACAGGACAGCGCAGTAGGCAAGAGGTGGGGGTCCTACACTCAGGTCGTCCCAGCTGTATGCTCCTCCCCTGGCCTCAATCCAGGGCCAGCTCCAAGGGGGCGCTGCCAGCAGGAGGGCACAGATCCCACCTGCTAGGAGGCTGGGAGAAGGGAGTGGCCCGGGCGCGAGAAGGGCAGGTTCCCCAGCTTCACGCTCCAGAGCTGCTCCTGCATCCAGAGAAACAGCAATCGAGCATCTCCTCTGGGACAGCAATTTTATTTTATTTTATTATTTGTTGTTGTTCTTTAGTTCGTATTTCATAATCATAAACTTAACTCTGCGGGTTGTGATCTCAGGGTGGTGGGATCGAGCCCCGCGTGGGCCGTGGAGTCTGCTTGAGATTCTCTCCCCCTCTGTCCTTCCCGCTCATGCTCCCTCCCTCTCTCTCTCTCTCAAATAAATAAATCTTTAAAAAACACAAAAGCATAATTCTGCAATCCAGCTAGATTTGGAGGGGACTGAGGAAAATATGGAACCCACAGAACTGCAGGGAGAGCACAAAGATGATAGGATATTTTGAGCCCCTGGGGGGAAGGGGTGCTCTCCTGAGCTACAGAAGGAATGGTCTGGTGGTTAAGATAAAACACATGTCAAATATATTAGATTCGTGGGACAGAATTTTAATGATGCTCACAGCAACCCTAGGAGATTGGGATCATCATCAACTTCACAGACAGGGAAACCAAGGGCCACAGGACATAAAACAGGCATTGACCAGGCTGGGATGTGGACCCAGGTTTGTCTGACTCAGGGCCTGGGCTCTATCATCCATGTGGGGGCGGAGCCAAGGGCAGTCAGAGGGAGCAAAGGTGGGTGTCAGGACTGACCCAAGCCCTCCCACTCAATGTCATGACAGTGGGGGGCACCAGATGGGAGTCAGAGATGTGGCCTCCCACGTGCCTGTTGAGTGAGCTACTTCCAAGCCTCATCAGTACAACAGAGACTGTAACTCCCCCCTTACAGGACTGTGGAGATCGTTAAGATACCCGAGAGAATGCTTGGAATACAGATCTCGATAAATGTGGTTCCAATCTTTCCAGTAGATGCTGGATCTGAGCGCTAAATTCTGCCCCTTGCCTTGACACCCGAGGTCCACCCCCCGGCTTCAGTTGCTCCCCAGGGATCTGAACCACCCCAGCTCTCCGTGCGCCCCCGCTCCCAGGCCCAGGCCGTGGGTCCTACTCACTTGTTGTTGTAAAAGCTGTGCTTGGCAGCCAGGTTGGAGCAGACAGACGGGGAGTCCTTGGTGCCTTTGCTGATGATCCGGGGCTTACTGTCAAAGCAGATCTGCCCAGGGAGGGGATGGGCTGGGACCCAGCATGGCCACCCAGGGAGGGGCAGACTGGGTCCCTGCCAGCCCTGCTCTGAGTCAGGGGAGTGAGAAAGGGCACCCCGGGCTCTATGGCCCCCACTCTCTGGCTCTAGCTCCCAGATAACCTGGGCTGTGGCTCTCTATGGTCCAGATGCCTGGAGCAGGGGGTAACTCCAAGCCTCTGGAAACTGGGGTGACCATGCCTGCCGTCTCACAGGCTCACTGTGAAGCTCAGAAAGGACATGACAGAACTGCAAGTGCTTTGTAAAGTCCACGCAGCTCCTGGCTGTGCACTGGGTCATGTTTGGGCTGAGCTGCACCAACCCTGCCAGCAACCTGGATCCAGAGCTCCAGCTCCACGGAGATGGGCCCGACACTGTCACTGCCCTCATCATGCTCTGACCAGGCAGGGAAGCAGGGGGCCAGCAGGGTCTGCTGTGGCAGCTCCAGGGAAGGAATTAACGACAACTTGGTAGAGCTGCTGGGATCCGAGCTGAGCCTCAGAGGGTCCAAGATGCAGAAATACAGGGAGGGCGCTCCAGGGAGAGGGGATGGCCTGGATACAGGCAGGGAAGTGGGCAGGAAGGCGTAACGGGCACCGGAGCCCGCACAGCTAGACAAGGAGGTGCGGGGAGGATGAGTACCTCCAGCGCCTGGCGCCAAGCCTGGCCTCTGATGGCCATCTGGAAAGAGTGGGTATGATTATCTCTCTTTCTTTACTTCGGCAAGATAGGGTCCTGTGGGCCTTTCTGGTAGTCCAAGGACCTACTGATTCTAAAGTCAGGCCTCCCAAACCCCCAGGTGCCAGGACTGACATTTGATAATGGAGCACGCCAGGGAGCCCCTCCCCCAGCCCCATCTGTGCCATCGACTGTGGAGGGTGGCAGGCGAGTGGGGCGGGTGCGCGGGTACCTCACAGAGGAAAGTGAAGATGCCCTGGTGCTCCTTAAGGAGCTTGGCGATGGTGAGGCTGCCGCGCTTGACGCCCCCCAGCGGGTCAAAGAGCAGGTCGCGGTTGAGGGTGCCTTTCCGCTCCTCTGTCCACACGTCGATCTCCTCCTGATGGTAGGCGAAGGTGCAGTTATCCCCGTACTTACAGTCCTGCTTGTTAATCATGTCTGCAAAGAGGCAACAGGACACACGTTCTGCCAGGCGGGACGGCAGCCCACAGAGTCCCCAGGACCTCCGCTGCAGCAGGAGGGACTCAGGCTCATTGCCACCGTGGCGGGTGGTGGCCTGCTGCTCAGGACTCGGGAGGGGCCGAGTGGCCGAGCTGGGGAAAGCCCTTCCCAGGCCAGGTCCCTTCTTCGCTCTATACCTGTGTTGGGGGAAGCACCTGCCTTTTCCATCTACAAAGCATGCGGTCATCCCACCCTACCACCCCACAGAGCCGCCTTATGTGGGTTGGGCAGGATGAGAGGTAGGACAAAGGGCTTTGTAGATGAATATAAGCCTCTAAATAAACACAAGGGGTTTTATTCTCATTATTCACCAGGAAAATACCATTGGTTAAGGGCCTGGGCCTTGGAATCCAGCAGACTTGGGCTGGGATTCCCTGTTATTCCTCAGCTGTCTGTCCCATAAACAGAGAACACTGGGTTGTTGTGGGGATTAAGTGAAATAATAAATAAAACCCCTGGGGACCAGCGGCGCCTGGTTGGCTCAGTCGGTAGAGCAGGCAACTCCTGATCTCCGGGCTGCAAGTCCAAACCCCATATTAGGTGTGGAACCTACTTTATTTATTTATTTATTTACTAAAGATTATTTATTTATTTGACAGAGAGAGAGACACAGCGAGAGAGGGAACACAAGCAGGGGGAGTGGGAGAGGGAGAAGCAGGCTTCCTGCTCAGCGGGTGATGTGGGCTTGATCCCAGGACTCTGGGATCATGACCTAAGCTGAAGGCAGACACTTAACGACTGAACCACCCAGGCGCCCGTGGAACCTACTTTAAAACAAAAACAAAAAACCCCTGGGGACCCGGGATTTGGGAGGGTGGCAGGCTCACAACCCGGAGCCCTGCCATCTCCTCGTGGTGGAAACGGTTTTTCTCTCTCTCCTGCGCACACTCTCTCTGTCTGCCCTGCCCCATCCTTCTGCCGGGCTGCAGGCGCACAAGGACAAGGGAGCCGATGTGCAGGTGATCGCCACTAACTGCTCTGTGCTGGACCCCAGCAGGAGCCCTCTAGGGAATGGCTTCCCAAGATCCGGGCGCTGCTTGATCAAGTTCAAAAGAGCGTGCAAAGGAGTCTGGGTTCTGGGTATTTGGGGAGTGGTTAGGGCAGACAGGGGACATGTAAGCCTCACAGAATTTGGACTTCATCTACACTGGCCAGGGGAGAGCTGACTGAGGCCTTCAAGCCCAGAAGCCACATGTCCTTAAGATCCTGCTGGGAGGACAGCGAACTGGTCCAGACAGCCTGGGGCTACTGCCATCGGCTGGGTTGGGGGACAAAGGCGGAGCCCCCCGAAGCCTCAATGTCCTAGTCTGGAGTTGTGAGGATGCGTGACAGTGGGGACAGAAGGGCAACACTATACAGCACTTAACGATGTCGTGACTGTATAGTCATGAAGACTGCTTGCTTGGGGAATCGAAGCTGGCAAGCAAGGTACGCGACAAATGTCCATTAAATACTGGCCACGTCGACGTGAGCCAGAAGTGGGGACAACAATGACATAATAACATTTAAAAGCTAATATTTATCAAGCCCTTTACTATACTATGTACTAGTCCTACGTGTTTTACATGGATTCTCCCCACACCTTTCCCACAGCCCTTCGGGACCCCCGCGAACCGCCTGAACCTCACACTCAGCAGGGGCTTTAGCTGGAATGGAACATCCCGAATATCCCCCCCGTCTGTGTAGCTGTCAGGACAGGAGCCAGATGCTCATTCTGCTGTGGGATTCATCCTCGAATGTCCACCCTCATCTACCGGTGATGAGGAGCAGAACCACAGCTGAGTGTGAGCCGAGCTAGGCCCTGGCCACACTGCCTGCCCCCCGCCGTAGCCCACCCACCTTTGCACAGGTAGTAGGAGCCCACAAAGCTGGTCTTGGTGGGCCGGGGCCGGATCCGCTTCCAGGTCTGGTCCTCAGAGCTCCGGAGCCGGCCGAGCAGGATGTCCCTCTTGCACTTGTGCTCGAGGCCCTCACGGTAGGTGTAATCGCCCGCCCTGGGCCCTGTGTGGACATGTGGAGAGAGACAGATTTCAGGTGGAGGACTGAAGGGTGACCGCTGATGGGCCTGAGCAGTGGGCCTTGGACCCCTGCCTAAAAACCTACCTCCGTCAGCTGGGCCTCCCACCAGCCCATACCACACCCTTCCCAGCCAAGTACTCCCTAGAGACAGGGGGACCCTCCAAAGACCCCCTTCTAGGCACCTACCCCCCTTCCATCACCACTCTGACTCTCCAGACATTTCAGTGTTTCCCTAGAAGGAATGAGGAAGACAGAGCCTGGCAGAGAGCAGGCCCGCCCCTTTCTTGTCCTGCCTGGAAGGGCGCTGCTCAGATTCACCCTCTCGGCCCTGCTCCTGCCAAGGCTCTGACCCAGGGCCTCCTCCCCGCTGACGATGGGGAAATAGCCCCGTGGGGACCCCGTGTGACCTGGCTGGGCCAGCACCAGCTGCACAGCAGTTCACGGGGTGTTAGAGGCAGCGGGTGTGTGGACTGGGGAGGCAGTCTGAGGTCCGTGAAGAAGAACTTCATCATGAGTACAGCCATCCAACAGGATGGCGCCCTGCTCCCCGCCCCCACAAGTCCATGGGCGCTCTGGTGGGATGACTCTCAGGGGTGACATGCATGTGGCCGGGGGATGAAGGGGGTGGTCCTGCAGTGGGTGGACAACAACAACTAGACAACCTCTAAGGTCCTGTCAACCCTAATACCCCTAAGATGGAGAATTCTTTAGACTGCTAAGATTTTTAACCCTGGCATCCCAAGACAATATCACACTAAAACTTCAGGGATTCTGGCAAATGGGTCTTAGACTAGAATTCTGAGATTCCAGCGTGCTGAAAACTGTCTCCCAGCTTTGGGCATCATTCTGAACTGCTTCTGTCACCTCCCTTGGATTTGGGGGCTGGGAATCTAGGAACTACATTTCCCAGACTCCTTTGCCATCTGGGTTCCAGGGCAGGTTTGCGTTCACCCAGGGAGATGCACTCATGGGAGAAGCGGACTATGAGGTGGAGTGGGCACGATGTGTGGGCTGCGTTTCCTCTGGCGAATGTGTTCCTGCAGCAGCTAGCTGGACGCCACTCCATGGCTAAGCACCAGCCTCTGGGCTGTGAGCGGCTGTGATACAGGCCGGAGGGTCCAGCAGCCCCGACCCATGTGTGAGAGGGGTCCCTGGCTTGTGGAAGAGCAGCCTAGAGGCCAGGGGACACTCCCAGCTTCTGCTCCTCTAGCCTCTCTGGCAATTTTGAAAGCCCCAAACCCCGACGTTCTGCACCTTCCCCCAACTCCTCACCTGCTCAAAATACCCGGAGGGGCTCCTGTTTTCCCACACTTATCTCTGACCGGTACATTAGGGTTCTGTTATCCTGGGAGGCTATACTCTTGGATTCCCAGTATCTCTGGGCAGAGGACAGAGGAACATAAAGGCGTGACATTACCTGTTTTGGGGTAGCAGAGCTGGCAGGCCTGCTTGAACTCATGGGTGGCAGCCAAGGGGTTCTTGATGAGCAAGGCGGTGTTGGGCATGGAGGGCTCTGGCTGTGATGGGAGGAGGTTGGCCGTCTTGGGCACTGGACCCTGGCTGGAGCCACCAGAGCCAGCCTGGGCACCAGAGGCTGGGGGGCTCTGTGACCCCCCCCATTCTACCCAAGAGCAGAACTGTAGCCCAGCACCCTCCCCTTCCTCCTACCCTCCTGGCCAGGGAATTCCTTACAACATGATCCAAGAATCTGTAACACTGGGATTGAACCAGCCTAGTGGGGGTGCATGGCTGACAGTGACCTTGGCCCAGAACCTTCCCTTGAGCAAAAGCCCAACATGAAAGCAGAGAAACAGGAATGGCCCCAATTGGGGCCTATGCACATGTCCTCCCCACTCCCAGCCTCTATCTCCCAAGCTTCCAAGGCATCAGCAGATGGGGAAAAAGGCAAGACTCAGAGAGGTTAGGTTACTTCCCCAGGGCCACAAAGCTAGTGTCTAGACTGGAGGCCAGAGTGCAGAGTGCAGAGCGGCAGCCTGCCCAAGGGCTCTCCTAAACTCAAAACCCGGCTGAGTCCCGAGAACAGGGATGTTACTAACCCTGGAGAAGTTGCTTAACCCCTCTGAGCCTCAATGTCCTCTTCTGTCAGACAAGGGTTGGGCCATGCCCTCAGCTCACCCTCCCAGCACATGGCTCAGTTTGGAAGGGCTGGGGAGAGACCATCTCTGGCCCATCCACTCTGAGGGGGTCTCTCCTTGGGGAATGCAGCACCTCATCCCATGCAGAAGGCTCACTTCCACTCTGGAGCCCACAACCACTTCCCTTCCACCCCCGAGAGGGCACATGGTACCTAGTCACGGATCTGCGCCAAGTACTCACCGAGGGGGCTGGTTTCTGAGTACCACTTGGGGGACGATGGTCCTGTGAGTTGGTTTCCTCTGGGCAAGAAGACACAGGGGTCACCTGCCCTGCTCGGAAGGGGTGAGAAGTCCTCTGAGGACTTCCTTGTACGCATTTGTAACTTGAAGAAACCACCCAGGCCATACATCCTCTACTGTTCATGCTGATCCCCTGCCTCTACCCTCAAAGCCTCTGTCCAGGGACAGAGCGATGTCCCAGCCTGAGCATGTGCACCCTGGCCTTACACCAGCCGTAGCCCCCACTGTCCCTGGAAGAAAGCCCAAGCTCTCAGTGTGACTCAAAGATCATTTGACACTGGCTTCAGGTCTTCAAGGCCCCCAACCCACCCTCCCCTCTGGCTGATGACTCTGCTCATCAGCCAGTCCCTCTGTCATGCAAGCCTGTGTCATCCTGCTCCCCCCACCAGCAGAGGACCTTCACCTTTAAGACCTCCCTCAGCCATCAGCTCCTCCAGGAAGTTTCCCTTTGGCTCCAGGGCTGAGTGAAGCACACCGGTGCTCCTGCAGAATCCCCCTGAGCCATGAGCACCCTGGGCTAGCTAGGTCCAACTGTCTGAAAGCTGGTCCTGCAAGGGCCCTGACAGGTCTGCTTCCTCTCTGGGTCCCTGGTGCCCGGCTCAGGGTGGTGCCGAAGGAGCTTATGGCCTGGCACCCTTTTCCCCAGCCTCAGGATCATCCCCATGGGATCCTACCAGCCTGGCGACCCCAGGGCCCCAGAAGGCTGGGCAGAGAGCACCATACTGCAAGTCCAGAGTTCTGGACTATCCCAGCTCTGCTGTTTGATCTTGAACAAGACACCCAACCCCTCAGGTCTCAGCCCTACACTGTGCTGAGCACTGCAGAAGACACAGTAACTCAGAGGTGGTGGCCCTGGACCACGATGGGGAGAGAGGGCCTGGACCTTGGCTGAATAGAGCTGTAATCCCAACTCCACTCCCCAGAGACTGGAGCTGCGGTGGTACGTCGAAAACCCTCAAGGGGGTGGGCGTGAACGTGCCCAACCAGGCCTCACCCACAAAGGAGCTGGGCTTGTCCAGGGCACCACGGGTCGACCCAAAGCTGTCGAGGGCATCCAACCGCGTATCCGAGTATGGCAGCAAGTCGAGGGAGTCCAGTGCCGAGCCTGGGGGGTCGAGGGCATCCAGCACAGAGGCGGCCAGCTTCTTGGAGGGGTCCATGACGAGACCAAAGGAGGCCGGGGGCAGTGGGCTGGAGACGGGGATGGAGCCACCCACTACAGGTGGTAGCAATGGGGTCCCACCAGGGAACACCGGGATCAGCTGGGGCAACTCGCTGGGCACACCGCTGCCAGGCAGGCCACCCTGGACCAGAGACTGCGAGGTGGGGAACAGAAGGCGGGGTTGGAGGAGAACTTGACCACTGCGGCCTGGGCAGAGGCAGGCGCTGCAGGCTGCAGGCCAGCCAACCCCTCTGTGCCTCAGCCCTGACCTGTCCCGTGAGCGGAGCCAGGGATCTTCATGGTCCCTCTGGCTGTGTGTTTGTACCCCAAGTAGGTCCCTTTCCCTCCTTGGGCCTCAGTTTCTCCAACTGTGATATGGAGATGGGACCGTCCCTCCATACCTTGTGGGACAGGAGGATGAACGCGCTGGGGGTCCTGGGCGGGGGAGGGGTTCAGGGGAGCAGAAGGGTGGCAACACGGCTCACCAGTGAGTCCAGTAGGGTGTCCAGCTCTGGCCCAAAGACATCCCCATCAGAGAAGTCGTCCAGGCTCTCAGTGCCAGGGAGGGCCCTGCTGCTGCTGTCCAGGGGGGCCAGCAGGTCCAGAACATGAGGGAACAGGGGCATCGTGGGAGGAGAGGGGAGCGGGGCTGGGGAGCCTCGCAGGTCCACGTAGCAGTCTGTGGATGGGAGAGTGGGATCAGTAGCCACAGGGGATCCTGCTTGGTGGTGGGGGGAGGTGTTCCAGGGCCCTAAGATCCTCACGCAACACCTTCCTTCCTTTCCCTAGCTCCTATCAGGAACCCTGTCTGCCCCGCGAGCCTGACTCCATGGCTGGAGGCTCAGTCACAGTGAAGGAAGGTCACTGCAGAGCAGGAGAGGGTCCCTCAGTCCTACGATATCTCTCGAATGGACCTGGCTCAGTGCCTGAACATCTTACCTGGGGAGAAGCAATGCCTTCTCTAAGGGACACTTGTTAAGCCAGTGAGGAAGAGAAGGGGACTCCCAGTTGGGGGAGGAGCTGGCCTGGGGCGGAGGACACGAGATCAGCGCTACCCTACTGTGTGGCTGACCCCCACCTTCTCCTCCCTGAGACGGAGTCTGGTTTCCTAGGCCCGCTATTTTCTTTCATGCTTCAGGGAGTTCCTAGGGCAGGGAGCCCTCAGCCCTCAGGCTGAGCCCTCCCTGGGGACCCATCTCTGCCCTGTGCCCTCAAATCAGGGACACTACCTGTTTCGATGTCATCTATGGATCCCAATCCATTGGAAGTTCCCTGTGGAGAGGAAGGACACAGACGGTCAGGCAGACATGGGCCGGGAAGGCCATGGTGCCCGCCCCACCCCCACCCCATGACTATTGCTGGAATTAAGCACAGGGCTGGCTGGGCGGGGGCCAGGAGGCAGGGGGAGTGGGGTCAGACAGGCCTCACATCTGCCCCTTGCTGGAGGGGTACCCTGGGAGGAAAGAGATATAACCTCTGAGCCCCAGTTTCCTTACCCATCACAGGATAGGGTCCATACCCTGGGGAGGGTGGCGGGTTTTTACCCAGCCATGCCCTGCATGGTTAGTTTGCAGCTCAAAGACAAAAATGCCACTCCCCGAATCACCAGGGTCCCCTCCCCCAATTACAGCCCCAGGCTGAAGGAGCCCAGGTGGGATCCCACTGCCACCCATGGACCTGCTGTTGGAGGGAAAGCTGGGCCGGAGCTTGCTCTGGGGCCTGGCCAAGTTTGTTGTTCTTCCTGGGCGCCTGCCGAGGGCAGCAGGAGGACCAGAGCCTCCCTGCTAGCCATCCCGCCCCGTGGGCCCACAGTGCTGCTAACAACAGCGAGGTGCATCCGGTGCCCTGCCTCCTGCCAGGCCGGGCCAGCACTCTGCAGCCAATCGAGTTCAGCCCTTGGTCCAGGTGCCCTGCAAGGTGTTGTCCCCCCACCCCGCCCCTGCACAGAGATGTCGGTCCAGGGGTCCAGGGAAGCTGCCACTCCCGGGCCAGAGAGGGGCTGTCTGACTCGGGACTCGGCCCCGACCCCAGCCCCAGGCCTCTGCGCTCCCAGCCCCACCCGCACGCCCTGGAGCCCGGCCCTGGCGTGGCAAAGACGTGCCACTCAGTGTCTCGGGCGTGTTTGCTGCACAAACCGAGGCTGCCACGCTGGGTCAGAGCTGCTGCTCTCACGGAGAGCATACAGAGCGTGGGAGGAGGGAAAGAGGTGTCAGGTGGACAACGCTAGGGACAGCTGCGCACCTCCCTGCCCAGTGCGTCCGCGGCTCTCCAGGCCCCCTGCCCGCCACCCAGCTCCAGCCCGTCTTGCTAGGCTCTTCTGTCCCTGCCTTTCACTGCTAGGGGCACTCACGTGGCAACAAGGTTGATGGAGCTCCCCCTCTCTGACGGGCCTCGTACCCACGGCTTTCATAGAGGACCCGCTGTTCCCCTACAGCCACCACCACATGGCGGGGCCCAGCGGCTCCCCGAGAGGTGGAGTGGCTGCCTCAGATAAGGGTGCGCTTGAGACCTGAGCCAGAACCCATGCCCGGCTCCAGAGCCCAGGCTCTTCCAAACCCCCACGGGGAGAACCAGTCTTGTGGTCCAGGGTACACGTTCCCCTCTCCTGCCTCTTGGCCTGTGCTCAGTGCTCAAGCCTGTTCCTCTGGCTTTGAGTTCTGCCCCCTCCTCTCTACCTGCCTGAATCCTGCCACGCAGGCTCTGTCAAGTCCTCTCCAAACAAGGCCACCTCAGGTTCTATCTGTCCCTAAAACTCACTGCCTTCCTCCTGTCTTGCCCCTCACGCTGCCAAGCTCAGGCGCGGACACCATGCCTGCCCGTCTCATCTCCAAGTCCCACGAAGCTCCCACGGGGAGCTCATGAGTCTCCACGACCAGGCACACATGTGGAATGACCGGCTGGCTGAACCGCCGGGACCCCGGTGCTGGAGAGTCTTGCAGGGGATGCTTGTGGCAAGGCTCATGCACGAGGTCTGTGGAAACCTCCTGGGGCAGGGGATCTGGCTGGCACGCTCCCCGCCGCCCCACTCCGTGTATCCTGGAGGCTCCCCAACCCCTGACCCCGAGGAAAAACTTGTGGGCTGGGCTGGAACGGGATGGGGAGGGGCCCCACCCCCGCCGGGGGCGCCAGGCTGCTGGCCTCCCAGGCCTGCCTTCATGTCATCCACACAAGCACCCTGGGAACTGAGCACAATCTTCTGTTTTACAGAGGGGAACCCAAAGCTCAGAGACAAGTCCTTTCCTCTAGGTCATGCCACCAGTGAGCAGAGACCTGACCTATCTGACTCCAAAGGGGTGCCATGTGGAGGCCCAGAACAGAGGAACCCATGGTCCTGCTCTCAGAGGAGCTTGCCACGGAGCCCGGGAGAAATGCATGCACACTTTGTCTGGTGCATGGGTAGGAGGTGAGGATGGAGAGGGACGTTGGAACTAGACTGTTGGGGAGCCTAAATGCCAGGCAAGAGTATCCGGAGTTGATTCCTTTTAAACAGACACTTTAATTAATAACCACTAAGGGTCTCTATGCTGGGGAGAGACCCAGAGGCCTGTCAGAATTCACCTTGAGGGTACAGGAAGGGGAGGCTAGCCCAAGTGGGATGTGGCTTTAACCAGGGCAGTCACTGCGGGAAGGGAAGGAAGAAGCAGGGACATACCATCACGTACCCAGCCAGGGTCACCCCAGCATAGTCCTATAAGGCACAATCATGACAGTTTCTTCAGCTCCAGGAATGAGGCAGGAGCCCTTGATATCCAAGAACTCTGAGTAAGATCTGCCTGAATAACTCCCTGCCTCCCTATCACCTCTGGCAAGAGGGAAGAGGAGCCCTGCACCCTGGCCTCTAGCTACCCTGGCCTCCTAGCTGTTCTCCCCACACACTGGGCACACCCCTGCCTCAGGGCCTTTGCACTGGCCATTCCCTCTGCCGGCTCCCCTAGACCTTCTCAAGGCACATCCCTCATCTTCAGGTCTTTGCTCCAGTGTCTCCTTCTCCTTGAGGCCTTCCCTCTCACTGTTTAAAACTGCAACCCCTCCCAATTACCCTAGCATTCCCCAGCCCGCACGTCTCCAAGGCACTGATCACTTTTTGTTTGTTGTCTCCTCCAGTTAGCTGTAAGTTCTATGAGGGTGGGGCTCCTTGGCTATTTCTCCCTCTGCTGTATATCCAGTGCCTTGATCGACTCTATGCTGGGCACATAGGAGCCCTCAATAAATCTCTTCTGAATTAATGAACAGACTCAATACTCTTCCCCTTCAAAGCCTTCCCAACACTCCTATGATGAAGACTCATCTCCTCCCCCGGGGCAAGGTGGTCTGGCTTCTACCTACTATCCCAGCCCCACTAGGGCCCTGCCTCCCCTCCACTAGGTCCCTCCCATTCTCTGAGGTCCTCCTAGCCTCAGGGCCTTTGCACATACCATCCCCTGTCTGAAATGCAGCTTTACCAGCACACCATGCCCCTGCCTACTCCTCAACCTTCAGGTCTCATTTGAAAGTTTGCTGATGCCCAATCTAAATCAGGCCTCCCTATTCCAGTGGCCCGTGGCTACCCACACTTTGCCTTTACAGCTCTCATGATGGTTTGTAACCAGAAATTATCAGGCTAGTATCCGTTCACCCTGGACTGTGAGCTCTTTGAGGGCAGGAACCATGAATGTTTTGTTTACCACGTACCTAGCCCCAGGCTCAGTGAACTCAGACAAGCCATCTAACTTGTCCGGCCTTGCTTTCTTCTTTGTAATAGGGGTACGTAGTACCTCCCTCGAGGCATTGTGAAATTATTTGCAATTCTTCAGTCATTCATTCACTGCTATGGTCTGAATATTTGTTAAACGTTCAACGGATGTCAAATTCACACGTTGAAATCCTACCCCCCCAAGGTGATAGTATTAGGAGGTGTGGCCTTCGGGAGGTGATTAGGTCATGAGGGTGAAGCCCTCACGAACGGGATTAGTGCCCTTATAAAAGAGACACTAGAGAGCTCCCTTACCCCTTCCACTATGTGAGGTTATAGCTAGAAAGTGCCATCTGTGAACCAGGAAGCGGGTCCTCAACAGATACCGAATTGGCCAGCACCTTGATCTTGGACTTCCCAGTCTCTAGAACTGTGAGAAATGAATTTCGGTTGTTTATAAGTCGCCCAGTCCATGGCATTTTGTTATAGCAAAATGTCATAATTTTTTTTTTTTTTGAGCATCCAGTATGTGCCAGGCCCCAAAATTTCCGGTTACAATCCATGAGGAATGCTATACAGGCAGATGTGGATCTGGCACCCGGAAGTCCCCCAGGCCAAAGATGTGCCTGCCTGACTCAGCTACGCCCCAGCACCCAGCCCAGGGCCAAGAAAGGGTTCTCTGGGAGTTTGCTGAGTGAATGAATGAAAGCCTTTTTAACGCTCGGAAGGCAGCCAGGCCTGCTGCTGCCTGGCTGTGTGATGTTCGCCAAGTCCCCTCCTCGCTCGGTGCCTCAGTCTCCCCTTATGTACAACAAAGAGGCAGGACCCCAGCCTCCATCAGTGCTCCTAGAGCCTGTCCCTTGTCTTCCAAAAAGCCTCAAAGTCCACCTGAGCATGCGTGGTGAGCAGTGGGAGAGTCCAGTGTATGTACTGGGTCCTGCCGCCACCCCCAGGATGAGCCAGGGTTGTACAAGGGTCTTGGCCCGGGAGGCAGGGGACATCCAAAACCTAGGATAATGCTGAAGTACCAGCATTATCCTCATGGCTCCCGCAGGTGCCACACTTCTCAGAGTATGCTCCCTTGTTCTGGCCGAGGGACAGAACACCTTCATTTCACAGGTTCGAAATCTGAGGCTCAGAGGTAAAGATTCTGCTCAAGAAGAGCCCGCACAGAGGCAGGCTGGGCTCTTCTCTATGGGATCCCAGGTATGAGCTCTGCCCCCCACTTCTGTGCATCTCCCCAGCAGTCACTTGGGCAGGGGTACCAGGAAGGGCCTCAGTGGAGGTGTGTGCTTTAGCTGGGTCTTGAAAATGGAAAGGCAGAGAAAGTAGGGTAGGCTGGAGGGAGGACATTAGAGACCTGGAGGCCTAGATGCAGAAAGCCCACTGGGGAGGAAAGCAACGGCGGCAGGAAGGATGGGGGTGAGGAAGCAGGAAGGTCAACGGGACTGGGCCACCCGCCCGCCAACAGCGGCCACAGCCTATCCCCACACTTTGCCCCTGTGGTCCCAGGAGGCCCCTCTTAAGAGGTGGAGGTGCTGTGCATCCCAGGGCTATCCTTGAGTCTGGCCCAGGCCCAGGTGGTCAGTCACCCCCTCTTCCCAGGGCAGGTGCCTGGCTCACAGCAGTGCGGACTAGGATGGGTTGAGCCCAACCCTTCAGTCTGATGGCCCTGGACCCCCTGCTGGGGTCATTATGCCCCATAGAGTGAATCCAAAGCTCCCATGACAAGTTGGTACTGGAGGCAGGGAGGGGGCTTGGGGTCCTGGCCCCCATCCTACCTGATCTGCCACGCCAGCCGCAGTGCCATTACTGAGCAGAGAAAATGTTTCCAATTCCTGCAGAGGTTAGAGAAGTGGGAAGGGATGAAGATTCTAGAAAGATGCTCCGGGTCCCATCAGCCAGGGCAGCAGAGGGGCCCCAACCCAGGCAGCTGGGGTCTGTAGTACCCTAAGGCTCCCTGCCCCTAGGCCTGCCCGAAGTGACCTGCCCTGTCTCTGGGTCAGATTCAGGAATTTTCTTCCTGTAACTGGGACCTGGGCAGAGGACTTCTACAAACAAGCTCCTACTGCATGCCAGGCACCACATCAAACATCCTTTCATTTTGATCCTCCCACGAGCCCCCTGCGGTGGGCATAATTATCCAGATGTTCCAGATGTAGAAACGCCAGGGGAGAGAGAACTAAGTTGCTCAAGGTCACAGCTGACTCTAGAGCCATACCCTCTCCCCCATGCAGCTTTCTGACACAAAAGAGGTATCAAATGGGCGCCTGGGTGGCTCAGTTGGTTAGGCGACTGCCTTCGGCTCAGGTCATGATCCTGGAGTCCCAGGATCGAGT